GAGTGGATACTAATGTGATGAGGTCAGCAGCCCCGCCTCCCTCTATGACATCATCATCACAGTTTTCATCTTTCTGGGGACCGGCCTCTCTCCCGTTTTTAATAGGAGTGTTTAAATGCTTCCTGTTATTGCTGAAGCAAAATTGCTGAATTTTATTGGTTGCTTTTGTAAAAATAAACATTAAATGAGAGTGTTTGGTTTTTGGAGAGTGGAACTGGCTGGTTTGTGTGTGGTGTCTGAGAGATGATTTTCTTTGTTTTCTCTTTTCTACCACAGGACAGAACTAAGTGATCATCTAGAGACCATTGACTCTGGATTAGAAAACCTTCAGCAGATCCTCAATGCTCAGTCCATTAACTTCGACACCTCGCCTTTCTTTGATGTAAATATTGTTTCAGTCTTTAGCAGCAAGTTTAACAACCAAGTACTTGTAAGAGTATCAATTTGAAATGTAAAAATAAAAGAATTATACTAGATCTATTATTATTATTGTTGTTCTCATCATTGTTAATAATTGTATTTTTAAACATAAAATACATAAAAATGCATTACTTATCTAGTATTTTTTTAACATATCTATTTATGTATGTATGCCTGTATAAGTCGCTGTAATGAAATGTTGAATTATTTATTGTTAATATATATATATATATATATATATATATATATATATATATATATATATTACTACAGCACATTTTTCTTTATAGCTTATGTATTACTGTCTGTCAGCAATATATTCTTGATGTTGGTTTTAAACAGTTTGTTGTGTTTCACAGATTTTCACATCATCTTCAGCTGATGTGGATCTGGACAGCCTGGCTATTGTAAGTTTTATTTATTTATAAATGAATTTATATTTTTTACATTTTATATAAATTTATATTCATTTATATGATTTATTTTTTATTTAGATATTTCTTTCTGTCAGCTGTCATTTTTTTTAGAAAATATAAAGCACAGAGATTGTCTAAATATTAAGAAATTGAGAAAGCAGACTTTTGGTGTGACAACGAAAATGTAGTGCCTAACAGCTCCAGAAGAACCACTGCTCACAGAATGAACAGAATGCAAAGACTTTAAACAAACTCGTCTGATCTGTTTAACGGAAAATATTTGACATGGTTTCAGTTGATAGACGTATGTCACATAGCTAGAAGTAAAGATGTTAAACTGTAGATTGCACTGTTAAACAATTTACTTCCATTTTGCATAAAAGTGTCAGTTGTGTGTGAAGTAACTTTAACATCTTTTTTCATCTGTAGAAATGTGCATACTGCTTGTCTTAGTTTAATCACACATCTGTGGTCTCTTTACAGATCCAGGACCTTCTGTCACCTGAACCTGTGAAAGAAACTGAATCTGGTGTGGACAGTGGAGATTCAGGTATTTAGGATGCTTGAAAATGAACATTTTTGTTTTAAAATGCAAAAACGTAGACTAAAAAATAAACCTGAGAATGAAGTAAGAAACGACAGTTATGATTGCCACCACTTAACCGTAAAAAAAATATGGTAGCAGTATTTTTGGTTTTATGCACTGAAATTAATTTTATGGTAAACAACTGTGTATTTCATTAATATAGTGTTAATATTCCATCTAAAGTAATATATTTTGTAACTGCGTAATATACTGATTACCTCCATAATAATAAAGGTGGTAAAGATGACAAACAGCATAAGATGTAACATCAAACCCATATGTACATAATTCATACAAAAATGAAAACATTTTTTAACAAAATGCCATCAAATGGCAGGTTATGGTTATTCACTGTAAATAGTAAGAAGATTGTTTTTTGTTTCTAAAGTCTGTAGTATTATATTACTGTAACAATACCTGTTACAGGTTTTCACCACATATATAGAGAGAACTTGCTGTTAGCCAACTAACAGGTTATTCCTGTTCCATTTTTAGTCTTTCATCATTAAAATTGCAAACATTTTTTATGGTGCACACTGTAAAAAAAAAAGACTGTGAATTTAACGGTAAAAGACTGTAAAAATGCTACAGTAAAAATCTATTAAATGGTTAACGGTAAATTCCCCTACTATATACAGTGAAAAACTGTATTGGACATTACATGTAATTTTACGGTAGTATACCGTTTTTGGAAGTGAAAAGACCGTATAATTTACAGTGAATAACCGTAAATTGACTTTCCCAGAATTCCCTGCATTACATTTCAAATTTTGTTTTTTTTGTTGAAATAAGTGTCTCTTCTTTTTAATCAGTTTTGTATATTAGGGTTGTGTGTTACACCTAATGTTGGTAAATTAATGTTTATTGCATTATTTCAGTTTCATGTGTGTTACCATGTTGGTGTTTAGTGTTTGTGTGAATGACACTGTGCACCTTCTATATATGTTATTATTTAAAAGCTGATTGTGATGGGCTTTGGTTCATCATGTGACTTTCTCATCACCACCTGCATTTGGTGGTTATCAGTGTATTACAAAGGTACAAAACAGATTTCAGTACTTCAATAGGTTGGTATAGTAACATTATATCAGTTAATGAAATGACGGTATTTAACTGTAAATTTAAGTTAAAACATAAAACCTAAAATGTTGCTACCATATTTTTTACGGTAAAATTCCGGCAACCACTGCTGCCGTTTTTTTACCGTCAATTTTATGGAATTTTCTTTTACAGTGTAGATGTTTTTTGATATTTTGTGGTGTAAATGGAATTTGCACGAATGGTGTTTTCAGGCAAGCAGCTGGTCCAGTACACGTCCCAGCCCGTGATTCTTCCTGACCCTGTCAGCACTGAAAGCACTGGCACCGACCTGCCCATCCTCCTGGAGCTGGAGGGCGACTCGTATTTCGGGTCAGAACCAGCTGAAGACCTGACCATCTCTCTTCTTAACTTCCAGTCCCCCGTTCCTGAGGACCCCAAACTATCATAGAGAGAGCAGCTTTTATAAAGGGATGTATGTCCGTGTGGGGCTTTTTTTTAAATGTATTCTCTTCATTTGTTTTTATTTTTGGTCATTTAACATGTCAGGGCTAGCGATTAGATTGTTACTCTGGTATTTCCCTTCACGTTTAGTCTGGGAAAAATCACTAAAAACCAGTAGAGAGAATTCAGTATTGCTTCAAAACCCTCCGTCATGGAGTTGAAACATCAAAATTAGCTTTTATTTGTTGGTTTGGTAGTTTCTGGCACTGAGAAAACTAAAATGTGTAGGACTACAGATGTAAATCTAAATTTATCGCCCATGCTTTGTGTGCTTATCTTTCATTTATCTGGATTGGATTTGCATCTATGCTAAGCGATTCTCTTGCAGTCTGTCACCGCTGCAGAACTTCAAAAACCTCAAGTTTGGCTTGTTGTATGTGCATTTTTCTGCTATTTGGTTGTTATTATTTGATATAATTATGATGAGATGACCCCCAGATTGTTATATTCGACACCTAGGTCTCATAAGTATGCCAAATATTCATCTTGCAGAATATTTTCTTTGCAGTATATATATTGAAATGCTGGTTAAAGCAAAAAAACAAACAAACATAAAATACCTTTTATAGCCAGAAAATGCAGTCGGTTTAATTGGACAAACATGAAACAAGCATCAAAAATCAATGTTGCATAACTTGTCCAGCATCCCACTAGCTGTCTTCAAAGCCATAGCTGTTACTCATCATATAATGTCTGATCTTGGTTGGTGATGATGGGTATGTATTCTGACAATGTCAGTTTAAGGTGCGTATTTAGAGATTTGAATGAAACGTTTTTGTACTAAAATCATATATTTTTTTTTGCTGTTGAAAGTTCTAATAAGCAGGACAGCCAATGATGCTGTATATAGGACATACGTTTGAATATATAAATAGTTTAGAGTGTGTTTGTTGTGATGAAACAAATTCATTTCAGACTTTGAAAACGCATTCAACAGGGATGAATTACACAATAAGTGTATTATAGATTGACAGGTCATTTTATGCATTGATAAGAGGTGTATCGGATGGTCTGATTTGAAGAATTTGTGCAATAATTCAACACTTAACCAACTTTCACAGCAACACACACTGCTTTCTTTTAATCTGTTCTTTTTTCCTTTGTTTTTGTTTGCTTAGCAAAAGGAACTAGAAAATATAATAGGTGAATCTTGTGAACCTTTTGTGAGATTCATTTGCAAATTGGATACCAAAATAACGAATTGAAATGGATTATTTTTTTTTTTTGGGTGCTATTTGTACACATGCTGTTCTCTATAGACTTCCCATCGTTCAACACTTGTTTATTTCTGTCATGGTCAGACAGCGCGGTAAAGGAACCGGGCGATGAATGTCACTTGTTGATGATTCTGATCATTTTCAGTCACATTTTAGTCAGTGGGTGACTGTCATAGCCAGAGAGACGTTAATATTAGGCATAAATTATTTTATTACGCATGTGAACAACACTTTGTGTATTGATATGTTTCAAATAAAATGTTTTTGAAAGTATTTGGAGGTAGTTTGGATTTATTTTCCCCGAAGCTTTTGATTGTAGCCGAGGTTTTCATAGTTTCTCGTTGGTCATCGTTAGCTGGTCTAAATAGTCCATCATCGCTGGCAAGATTGCGTCTTACTAAAAGTTCACTGTCTCTGCATTAGAAACCCCATTTCTTTTTTCCCCCTTTCTTTGTATTGTTATTTTTTTATAATCGATGCTAAAGATAGGAAAACTTCAACACCCATAATGCATTTGGCTCGATCAGGCTATCAGTGAACGGGGATACAAAAAACGCGGAAGTGTTTTGTAGTTTTCACAAAAGCCCGCTGGATGACGCGTTTACGTCACCTTGCTGATTTTTTCTGACAAATAAACGGGGATGTTTTGGTGCAGGTAACATTGAAAAAAATAATGTAATAATTGTTTATTTACGTATACTGCCGACATTGTAACAATACAAAGTTGTCTGAAAATCGGTGAACTTACCCTTTAACCTAGTTGACAGTCAACCATTTTCCAAATTACATTACCTGTTTTTGAACCGATTCCTCCGAACAGGTAAAATGACAAATATTTGAATTTGATGTTCAAAATAGATGTTCAATTTAATGTAAAGATTATCATCAAATGACATACATTCAGCAATATACAATCTGTGACATTGGTAAAGAATATTGCTTTAACTTCTAGGCAAGAAAATACAGTAGCGACATTTATGGGGGAAACAACCGTTAAATTTACACCGCAAATACGTTTTAAATCCTGATTTTTCTCTCTTTCATTTGACTCCTTTGATTTATTTTTTTTCTTTCGTTGTACCAATGAATAAAATACAGGGCTCTTTTATAAACAGGCGCAATAAAAAGTTAAGTTACAGTATCCTCTGAATGTTTAAATAGTCAAAAATAAAACAAACGGACACACACACGAAGGAGAGCTAAAGTCTAGCGGTCGGGTTCAGGGTTCCTCTACCAGGAGTTGTGGTCTGTGCACTGAAATCTGTAGCGCAGAAACCTCACTCGCGGCGTCATGTGGAAATCAGCAGGTATCTTCCAGTTCCACATTTTCTGCACCTTTCAAAAAGCGCACAGATCAGTTCATCAAGGCCAAACTAGCTGGACAGACGTTTACAAGCAGAAAATTGGGTTTCTTAATGATAGCTTTTCATTAAAGCTTTTCAGTGTCCAAATTCATCGAGCATCTTTAGTGAAACACGAGGAGAACGGACAGAAATTCTTTCATAGGCTATAGTGTCCCATGTACACTACTGTTTAAAAATTTGGGGTCAGTAAGATTAAAAATAGCCCACAGTAAAACATTTTTTAAAAATTTAACGGATTTTGAATATAGATTTTTTTTTTTTAATTCAGTACTCCAGTCTTCAGTGTCACGTGCTATTTCAGAAATCATTCTAATATGCTGATTTGCTGCTCAAGAAACATTTCTTCTTATTAGGCTATTGTTTAAGAGTTGTGCTGCTTAATATTTTTGTGGAAACCTTCCTTTTTTTCATGATTCTTTGATGAATAGAAAGCACTTACTTGAAATCGAGATCTTTTGTAACATTATAAATGTCTTTTCTGTCGCTTTTGATCAATTTAATGCATCCTTGCTAATCAAAAGCATTCATTTCTTAAAAAGATGTACTGACCCCCAAAGTTTTGAACTGTGGTCTATCTTAAAGGTTTCACAGACTAAAATGCTTGTTTGCGCGCTCAACTGAAAATATCTTGCTCTGACATCTGAATATGTCAGTGCCATTGTTCTGTCTCAATATGCACACCTGTAATATTTTTCTAAGGCATTTTTATAAAAGCTGTTTAAATATCTTAACTAAGACCTAGTCCTGGCTTAAGTTAAGCCCCGTCTGTGAAACCGGGCCATAATGTGTTAACATTTAAGTATTAAGTATTTTTCCAATATTAATGAGATTGTTTGGGCCGTTTGTTTTGAATATATGAATTCTATAGATATTTTTATAGAGAATTTCAGACCCACCTTCAGGACCCTGACCAGATGTGTGGTACTGTTCACCTGCTGATACTGGACCGAACAAGCAAAACAGAGAAAAGAGAAGAGCTGTTGAGCATCTGTTTATCAGCACAGGAGACACTATCATTGTTGCATCTCAATCAGACATAAACGTGAATCTATTCACAAGGCATTCACTATTTAATTTCTATTCTAGAATTGTTCTTCATTCAGTTTTATGAACGATGTGTTTCCTTGACAGGTTTGACATGGCTTTGAGGTGAAAGCAAGATACAGATCATCAGAATGAATCATAAATCATGTGACTGAAGTGAAGGAGGACTGAACTCCCATGAAGCTTACCAGCTGGCTGTGTCTGTTCCGTAGCACCAGGTTGGCCTGTTAGAGGAGAACAAACCAGAGGTTTACATCAAAACAACTGATTTGATGAATTTACCCTGTTTACTTGAATATGTACAGGTTAGTAGGTAAAGCAGGTTTAGAGATGTAGTGTGTATCAAAAATGACATTTTGACATGATTTAAGAGACATGGATAGAGACATTAAAAAAAAAATCATTATTCCAAGAATTTGACCAGTAGTGTATATAAAACCTTACTTGGACTCCTGAGAGTCCCTTGAGGTTCAGCTGTAGCTTAACAATTAAAAAAAATCGCAAATATACTTTTTCCTTATAGTGTTTGTACTGGTATTCACCACGTTATGGGGACCAAATGTCCCCACAACAATAGCAATACCAGTAAATTCTGACCTTGTGGGGACATTTCTTAGGCCCCCATGAGGAAACAAGCTTATAAATCATACAGAATGAAGTTCTTTGAAAATCTAAAAATGTAGCTGTGTGTGAGGGGTGCAGGGTAAGGGGATAGAAAATGCAGTTGGTACAGTATAAAAACCATTATGCCTATGGAATGTCCCCATAATGATAGGAATACCTGTGTGTGTGTGTGTGTGTGTGTGTCACCCACCTGTGCCCATGGCATCTGTCTGTGAGGAAACCCCTGTGAATGGATCCCCTGTGACTGGAGTTGAGTTTAAGAAAGGTTTGTTTCATTTTTAACTTTTAATAAACTTTTGACACAATTTCTGCATTGTAAGCAAACCCTTGCAAAAAATGACTTTGGTAATCATAGTTTCCACCAAATATCATTGTTATTGTACTGTAAAATGGTAGAATTTCCTTCAAACGGGCTTATAGTATCATCTGCAGAAACTACGTTTACCATGGTACATTTTTATAAGGGCAGCTTACCTAGATGGTTAGTCCACCTGATGAGGCAGATGTTTTCAAACGTAATTTACCTGGTAAGTCTGTCTGAACCATGCTACTGTGTGTCTCTGAGGCATCTGAAAGTTTGACAAGAACATTTGAAATGCCAAAATAAAAAATCATACAGTCTGTTACTTCAGCTGATTATTACATATATATATATTTATATCCATATTTTCTGAACCTTTATATTATCTGTGCCTTATTCATATAATCTAAAGGTCACTCACCTGTAAATCCAGTCCCAGTCGCACGCACAGAATCTGCTTTTTAGAAACACACACTACACATGAAACCCTCGCATGAGTGATTGACTGACATGTGTCTGGATGTGCTGAGGAAACGTGGTTACCTGTGTAATTCGGCACACCGTCTGTCACAGCTAAGTGTCCATGCCCTGAATAACAGGAAACAGCATGTCATAAATATTTCATATTTCCTTGAATTATTTCTTTGCATAATGTGTTGTACTCACCTGTCATGTCTGTTTGAGTCACTAGATCACCTGCCGCACCTGATCACAATGTCAGCTCCGTTATTACAGGTACGTGCACAAAGACCAATGCTGCTTTTACATTCACTCGTGGTGTATGTTTGGTCAAATTTTAAAGATTATACCTGCCATATCTGTCTGCATGCTTGCACCGGTGACACCGTCAAATCCTTTGAGAAGCCAAGGCGAGTTTATTTATGTAGCACATTTCAAACACAATGGTAATTTAAAGTGCTTTACATACAAATGATTTGAAAATAATTATAATATAAAAAATGTATCTTAAAGAAGCAAAGAGAGAGATGCATTTTAAAAATAAATAAGTTAATTATTTTATTATAATTATTATTTAACTTATTAAACTGATCTGTAAGGATTATTATGGAAGTCTGTAATTAATATAATTCTGGCTTTTTGAGTTTATAACTCACAATTTAGACTTTTTCAGAAATGCAAAATATCAAGTCAGAATTGTGAGATATAAACTTGCAATTGCAAGAATGACAAAATTAATATTTTAGTAAAATTAATATTTAATTTTGTGGTGAAAAAAAAGACAGAATTGTGATATGTAAATTTGGACTCGCGAGAAAAATTCAGAATTCTGATTCCTGAATTCTCAGAATTCTTCAGAATTGCAAGAAAGTCCAAATTGTGAGATTAGTCAGAATTAACAGTCTTTTTTTTATTCATTTAAAAAAAATCTGTGGTGGAAACAGGCTTCTATATGTGGTTGCTTACCAGTCGTGTCAGCGTAAGGACTGAGAGTGTGGTCACTTTGATCAAGCGCGCCAACTGAAAATAACAGCAACAAGAAAAATAGTTCTAAAGGGGCAAAGTAGATTCATATTTGATTAATATATGTGTAAAGATATGTGTAAAGATGATTGGTGATGACTTATTAACGCTGTTCCAAAATCTAGTGGGATACCTTGTTGTCTAAATAGACAGGTGCCTTCTATATGTAAAATAATATTTGGAAGACCTAACTCATAAGTTTGAAGTTAGCATGCTGGTAGATGAATGACAAGTCTAATGTGCATAAAAACAGCACAAGCTTGAACTATTTAAGAAATACTCTCAGTATTCACTGAAATGAAGGTAGGCCTATATTTCAAGTAATTTTGGATGGGTTTATTCACTGAGTTCCCCTCAAAGCATTCTGGGGTTGTTTTCCCCAATACCTTAGATATTTGGGTAAAACAAATAACTTTATAAATGCATAAAGTAATGCTGCCTACCGCACTGTGTGAGCAAACCAATGATGTCTAGGTAGGCAACATTTCATTTAAGGCAAGACATTACAAGTGAATAGGTTGACATTTGAACTTATGTTTAAATAACTAAGTTTCCCACTTTTTAAAAAAATGTGCACTACTACTAGCAAATAGATGGGATGTGAACTAAAATCCACAAAACTCTGATATTTCTCTCTGATACAGTCTGACGATATTTTACCTTATTTGTATATTTGTATAGTTGTATTTTATATTTAATCTGTATCTATCTGTATTTATGTTCTACTGTAGTGTTATCTGTATGCACCAAGGGTCTGAGAGTAACGCAATTTCAATTCTCTGTGTGTATGTGCTGTACATGTGGAAGAATTGACAATAAAGCAGACTTGACTTGACTTGATATTTGATTTCATGGCTTTAAACCTGCCATGAGAAATATTTTCCATAATGAGCATTTGGTAAAGCCACACAACCCCACCACTCTAGACAGACTAGCCAAGAGAAGACGCATACAAATGGAATTATGGCTAACAAATCAATTGTATTTCATACAACCAGGTAATATAGTACCAGCTGTGTGATGCATCTCTGTTGCAGCGTCCTGATGGCCTGTTCCGCCTGTTTGGAAAGACATTTGGGAATATTAACATTGATTCTAGGATATTAGTCTGTCAATAATATGACGTTGTGATTGTGTGTTGATTAGTTGTGTTTGTTTTATTGCTAGATACATACTGATGTCGAGATGAACGCCTGGAGGGTCACCTGTGAACGAATCCAGACACACACTGCAGTTCTCTCTCGTTTATAGGTTTCATATCTTTTTTATAGACATTTCAACATACCTTTCTGTATGTCTACCACAGGTTTGTGCCGACCGTTTCCTTTTCCTGTAATGCAGTTATGAATTATGTGTGAAAATAATACTGTATGATGAAATCCCTGCTGGTGGTCAACCACCTAAAACAGCTTGGACCATGGAAAAGTATAGCCAACAACTGCTTTAATCGGGATTTTCCAGCAAGGAAAGGTGAGGTTACATGCTGACTGTAACTTACCATTTGTATCAGGTAAATCTGCACCATTATTATCTGCCCCACCATCTGAGGAGAACAACAAAAAACTGTTAAATATAATATCTCATATTTTGTTTTGGGTTTTTTGTAATTGAAAATAGGGCTAATACTTTACCATAAAGATCCATTTATTAACATTGGTTAGCTACATTAGTTAACAATAAATAAGAATAATAAATGCCATATAAGTATTGTTCACTATTAGTTGATCAACATTTTTTTTACATTAGTTAACATTAAGCTAGATTAATAAAAGCTGTAGAAATATTGTACATTGTTAATTTCAACATTTACTAATACATTTAACAATTGCACTTTTATTAACATTTACAAAGATTAATAGATGCTGCAAGTCTCTAAGTAAATATACTGCTAATTGTAAGTTTGTTGTTAGTTAGCTATTGCATTAACTAATGTTAAAGGAATAGTTCACCAAAAAAAAGGAACATTTGCTGAAAAAATTTACTCTTAGCCCAAGATGTAGATGAGTTTGTTTCTTCATCAAAACAGAATTTGTAATACATTTAACAATTGCACTTTTATTAACATTTACAAAGATTAATAGATGCTGCAAGTCTCTAAGTAAATATACTGCTAATTGTAAGTTTGTTGTTAGTTAGCTATTGCATTAACTAATGTTAAAGGAATAGTTCACCAAAAAAGGAACATTTGCTGAAAAAATGTACTCTTAGCCCAAGATGTAGATGAGTTTGTTTCTTCATCAAAACAGAATTTGAGAAATTTAGCATTATGAATGGGTGCCGTCAAAATGAGAGTCCATGCAGCTTTTCGCTTAAGTTGTAAACTGATGGACTGGAGTCATGTGGATTACTTGTGGATTATTGTGATTTTTTTTATCATCTGTTTGGACTGACGGCACCCATTCACTGCAGAGGATCCATTGATGAGCAAGTGATGTAAAGCTTCATTTCTCAATATCTGTTAAATAAAAAACCTTATCTACATCTTGGATAGCCCGAAGGCGAGAAAATCTACAGCATTTTTCTTTTTGGGTGAACTATTCCTTTAACAAATGAGACTTTGTTGCAAAGTTTTACTAAAATAGTTGTCCTACCTGAATAATCTAAGAAGGAATGACCCGGATGTGACATTGTGTCAAAGACTACTGAGGAATCTGTAAAAATCAGATTAAACTTCAATTAAGATTTGACACACTTTCAGCATTTGATGTCACTTTCCACCAGAACATGCAGGATTTTTGGTGAGAATGTTGTTTAACATCAGTTTACCTGTTGTATCAGCTGGTGATTTTGATTGGGCTCCATTATCAGCCGTGCCTGGAGATATTATGAAAGATATTATTAGAAAGAAACATAATATACTATTACTAATTTAATGTTAGTAAACAGATTAATACTTTACTTACTGATTGAATGAGTATAATCACCATTCGCATTGTTAACAGACAGGTAATCTGGTCCTGGAGTGTGATATACAGAACAAGAGACGGTTAGCAAGGTAAATGATTGGTTTACCAGACATATAGTGAATATGTATAGAGTTTTTGATGTTAAATGTATACACTTTTGTTTAAAAGTTGGGGTCAGTCAGTTTTTTAAATGTTTTTAAAAGACGTCTGATCAAAAATACAGTAAAAACAGTAATATTGTCAAATTGTATTACAGTTTGAAATTACTGTTTTAATTTGAATACTTTTAAAATGTTATTTATTCCTGTGATACAAAGTTCAGTGTTTGGTCAAATTAAGGCATTGTTGTTAAAAAAAGTTTCAGTTTAAAAAAGAAATAAAATTGAAAAATCTTACTGACCCCAAGGATTTCAACAGTAGTGTAGAAGCTTCTGATCAGTGTTTTGGTTTTGGGTTTAACCCAATAACTCAAAATGTGTTTTTTGCTTTTGTAGGGCAGAAGAGTTGAACTGATGTTTACCTGTAATTTCCAGGTGAGGGCTTGTGCCAAATGAATCAAAACCACCTGCATACGTACATATGACAAACAACACACGAAGAGAAGTTAATTTTTAAAAAAATTGAAAACAGTGTAAGTATACTTTTTATCTCAGAAATGAATGTTTTTTTCCGTGGTAGGATTTGAAATCATGCTTTTATACCTGTTCCTTGTATCTGAGATGTGCCTGCCATGAAATGATCCAAGCCTGCAACAAAAACAGCAAATTGACATCAGAGACAGTTTGTTCGTTTTTATCTTTTGTGTCATATGAAATGTCAGTCAATTAAAACCATATATTCATTGTTTCCTCGCCTGTAAATCCTGTTTCTCCTCCATTCAGAAGCTGTTTGTGTCCATTGCCTATGAGAGGAACCCGATTAAAATGACTACATCACTCATTCTGATTAATATGATGCACAATACTGTTTGATGTGCATTAACACACAATAACACTCACCGTTAGATTCTATCTCAGGGATTTCTGAATGTACAAGATAAAAATGACATAATTATGATATAAATGATAGTTTAATAGAAAACATTTTGTAAACCGTGTGTAAACTTCAATGTTCATCACCTGGAGACTCTATTTGAGATCCATCATGAGCGGTTTCCCCTGATGCAAGAAGACAAGATGTGTTCTTGATAATTGTGTTAAGCATTTAAAAAGTAAGAAATGACCTCCATGAGATACAATAGCAAGAACCTGTTATACACATACCATTTTCATACTGTGAGCCATCTGTATGTGGAGCGAATCCCTCCGACCCTGAACACACATGCAAAGAGCATTATGATTGTATAACTTTTGCATAGATCTTTTACTTGAAGCCTTATATGTAATAAATATAAAATTATATTTAAAGGAATAGTTTAAGTTGCTGAAAATTTAGTCACCCTCAGGCCATCCAAGAGGAGTAGATAAGTTTGTTTCTTCATTGAAATAGATTTTGAGAAATATACACTCTAAAAAATACTGGGTTAAAAAAGGAACAAACCCAGCTATTGGGTTGTTTTGACCCAGCGGTTGGGTTCAAAACATCCCAACCGCTGGGTCAAAACAACCCAATAGCTGGGTTTCTCCCTTTTTAACCCAGCATTTTTTAGAGTGTAGCATTACATCACTTGCTCACCAGTGGATCCTCTGCAGTGAATGGGTGCCGTCAGAATGAGAATCCAAACAGATGATAAAAACATCGCAATAATTTACAAGTAATCCACACAACTCCAGTCCATCAATGAATGTCTTGTATAGTGAAAAGCTGCATGTTTGTAAGAAACAAATCTATCATTAAATTGTTTTTAACTTCAAACCACACTACATACAGCTAAAGCATGAGTCCTCTATCCATAATATTGCTTCCTCCAGGGAAAGAGTCATAATCAGGAGAGAAATATGCACAGATCTAGCACCGTTTACAAGGAAAAACAGTCCAAAACTGTCCTAAATAAATATGTTGGTGGATTTTGATGTGAGAGGACAACAGGGGATGGACTTTTTAACTGGAGGAAGCATTATGAATTTTGGTATCTAGGTCAGAAACAACGGTTTGAAGTTAAAAACTGGTTAATGATGGATGTGTTGCTTACGAACATGCAGCTCTACAAGAAGTGAATTGATGGGCTGGAGTCGTGTGGATTATTGTGATGTTTTTATCAGCTGTTTGGACTCTCATTCTGACGGCACCCATTCACTGCAGAGCTGAGCAAGTGATGCAAAATTTCTCCAGATCTGTTTTAGTGCTGGTTAATGATGGATGTGTTGCTTACGAACATGCAGCTCTACAAGAAGTGAATTGATGGGCTGGAGTCGTGTGGATTATTGTGATGTTTTTATCAGCTGTTTGGACTCTAATTCTGACGGCACCCATTCACTGCAGAGCTGAGCAAGTGATGCAAAATTTCTCCAGATCTGTTTTAGTAAAGAAGCTCATCTTTCAAGCACATCTACAACTTGGATGGTCTGAGGGTCAGTACATTTTCAGCAAATTTTCAGTTTTGGGTGAACTCTTCCATCTTTTTGATTGAAATACCTGCAGGCTGTGATTGGACCTCAGAGGAAACTACGCCCACACCGTCTGATATCTGTCCTGCTGAAGGTCGGCCAAACGTGTGGCTGGATATCACTGTGGACCCATGACCTGGTGCTATGTGGCCTGATGACCCTTGACCTGATGACACTGTGAGATTGACAAAGATATCTCATTGTGAAGTGAATGCTATATTTTGATTTTATGTGCATAATATAAACACACATTATAAGGCACGGCTGCCTTAAGATAAACAGAACAACCTCTCACCAACAGAAATGGACACTGAATGGACGCCCCCGTCTGTGCCTGAAACAAATTAAACATATTGGGTTTCTCTAGCGATGTTTTTTTTTCTTCTTCTAAAATTTCAAATATTTGAGATCATATTTTGAACAATAATTTTGTTTCTAAATGTCATTACCAGGGACTTTAGATCCTGAACCTCCATTAGCACCTGCTCCTCCAGCTCCTACACCTGAGAACAATTCCCTTTATCACTCTTCATGTAATGCACTACTGTTTAACAATTAATTAATTTATTTTTATTTACATTTTTTTAAAGAAATTAATACTTTTACTCCGACCCCAAACTTTTGCTTTTGTTAAAATTGTTATATATTATATTAAAAAATTTTAATAGTAGTATTAAACCTTTTAGTATTTTTAGTGTATAAAGCTAGTATTTATGCCATGCCATATAAATGTGTAACTTGCTTTTTTTTTGCTTTTTTTTTTTTAGGCCAGAATCAGTGATCAGGTACCTGGAGGAACTATTTCTGATTTGGACCCATCTTGTCCACCATAACTTGCATCTGTAAGTGAAATAAATACAGTGATTAGGCAGTCGACTTGTTAGGGCAAAAAGTAAAGCATATACAGCAGGTGAACAGGTACAGTACCATGAGAACTAGAGCCAGATGGGCGAGAGTACCCGTCTCTTCCGTTACTTCCTGTAACCCACAAAGAAATATTTCTGAGAGGACAGTAATAAAGGATAGCCGTCAATACTGAAAATGCTCCAGTAATCCAATGACATGCAGTTAGTGGTTTAATTAAACAACAAAACTAATAATTCACCACCCTGCATCACATTTTCTGAATGAAATCCAATGCTTGTTAGTTTTTTTTACTAATTTTGGGGCGCTGATTCCAAAAATAGTGCCTATTTTGCTCTAGCATGTCATTTTCTCACAAAATACAATGTGCATTTTGTAGCATTTTTGCATTCTACAACCATTTGTACGGTTAGGAAGTCTTGAATTATCCCTTAATCAGTGGAAAAACTGCCATAAAGACAAGATTGCTATCTTTCTCTGAGCCCAGTACAACTATTCGTTAAATTCTCAGCCAATAATTTCAAGGTTAGAATTAAGGCCAGCAACAGAAGAAAATGCAAGCATGATCTAGATCTGTGAATGTTTTCCTACATCCAAACAGCAACAGAAAACGACAGATTTTGTGAAAACATATTTGAACATTTTTCTAATTCTTTGCAGATTGTAAGTTAAATTATACATTTAGAATTCTTGCTTTTGTGAAAACCTTTGACATTTGGCTGCTTTTGTTGTTTCATAAGTGCATTAAAGCAGATAAATACATCATTTTGTGAAAGTTTATGTGAAGTTTTTATTGATATTTTTGAACTCAGCATCGTCAAATTAGGTAATATTAGGCTTTTTTTTACAGCAGCAGGTTTTATAATATTCTGATTGAAATGCTGGTTACCGTTTGAAGCTCCATTTGAAGCTGTTGATGTGCTGCCTGATGCTGTAATGACAAAAACACTAGTTTAGTTTCTGATATCTAGATTTGACGTCCTGATGTTCGGCTGAGACCCTGTGCGTATATTGTAGCTCTGTAGTGCATTTCCTACATAAGGTCAGTCGGTGTTGCTTTTCTAAAGTGCGACTTGTGTGAAAGTTTTGCCCCTGATAGATCAGGTTCACACTTACAGACTTGGCCAGTTTGAGTGCCTCCATTAAGTTTCTGACCTGGGAAACAAGAGCAAAGGTTTTGTCAAAAGATGTATTGGACTTCAGAAAGGCCTGAAAAGTGGCCATTGAGCTTTCAACAAATTCACCTTTCACCAGAGGCCATGAGAGGCTAATGCACTCCGAACAGAACTTGTTTTTGCGTTATCGAGTAGACTTTCCTTACCGTTTGGGGATTCGCCCGCCACGGCGCTGCCAGGAGTCATACCTTGGAGAAAAACAGCCCTTCAGTCTAAACAAGGTCCTGAAACATCGGCCCAACAAACATGCAATCTCACTGCGCTACAGGCCTCTGTTTTGCACGGATCTGTGCACCCGATGTTTCGTCTTTCCACATTTATTAATAAATCGAGCAATGCCGTTCAGCCACCGTGGCTAAAATCCCCACATACCTGATCCCTAAACCAGATTAAGTACTGATTGACTTTGCTTACTGAGTAGGGTGCACCCAGTGAACTATTTTCCAGTGCTGAGAGGTTCAGTGTTCTCTGCCTCCAGCTCTAAAGAGGATTAGCTTCACCTTACCCAAGCCTCTGGGTGCTGCAGTGGCCTGCTGCGATCCGGCTCCTTTGGGAAAAGAGGGAGAGGAACAAGAAACATATTCTTAAGATTCCCAGAGATCATTTCTCACAGGTCAATCAATCTATTCTGGCCAGGTGGCTTCTGAAAGGACAGACACTCTTTTTACATGTGCTTGAGGGGTTTTGCATCTTGTATAAAACAGCTATATAGATTTTAAGTTGCTTTTATTGGCTTTAATGTGCATTTTAGATCGGATTTTAGTTTCGTTTTTGCAATGTCGCTACCACATTAGAACTAAATGCTACAAGTTGAATATAGAGTAACATCAGTCTTTAGTCTTTAACACTGTAATTTATTGAAAATTTGGGGTCAGTCAATTTAGTCTTTAACAGAAATTATGCATTAAATTGATCAAAACTGACAGTAAAGATTTCAGTAATGTTATGTATGATTTCTGTTCCAAATAAATGCTGTTATTTTGATCTTTCTATTCATCAAAGAATCCTGAAAAAATTGATCAGTTTCTGCAAAAATATTGAGCAACACAACTGTTTTCAACATTGATAAAAATAAGAAATGTTTTCTTTGCATAATAATTTCTGAAGAGTCGTGTGACATATATATATATAAAAAAATACCGACCCCAAATATTTTATATATATATCTTAATTACCTTACAAAAAGTACTATGGTTGTATCAGATGGCAATACCATGGTATTTTAAAATATAGTATGGTACTGAAATCCATGTACTCTTGTAGGAATGTTGCAAATACTATAAATATAAAATATTATGATACACGAATTTCAATATATATCGAAGTTCGATAAGATTACCATCACTGTACTAGGTTTTCACATCACAATATTTTTGTTAGGAATATCATGGTATTACCATGATACTCCAAAGTACTCAAAAGAATATGTTGTCCAAAAAACAAACACACATATAATAGCATGCTGCTTTGATATACGTATATACTATGATACCGTATGGTTACCATACTTTAAAATCTTAATGATCAAGCTTAGAAAAACAAAGTATTATCATTGATCCCATGTCCAAAAATCACAGAATACAAGAAAAAAATACCACAGTACTTTTTTGTAAGTGTAATGTCTGATTATGGCAGAACCCCAAATGTTTCGAATAGCTCAGCCTCATTAAAAAAGACTGACTTTTGAAGTAACTTATGACTTATTATGTGATTATTAAAGATGACTGAGGTTTTGCACAATGGTGGTAAGTTGTGAACTTGTCACCCACCCTTCATATGCTGACCTTTGGAGTCATCATCATCTGTAAAGAAAAGGGAAAATCGATACAGTTTATAACAACCGCTCCTTTGTTTTGCCCTTCTCCTCTTTCTGTCCCGAATCCCTCGCAGACTGTTATCAGAATAATATGAGTCCACAGAGTTTAGAATTCACTGATCTGTTTGAAGTTAAATGCTCTTTTATTTTCTCTTTGAGACTTTGTATTTATCCCCTTTGATGTGTTTATGGGTTTATGAATCCGAATGGATTTTTAAAAGAAATTCAGGTTTACTTTAAAACCGTTTATCATGAACATTATAGTATTAACTTCTCATTTTGTCCTTTTGCAGGATCACATCTAGTGTCAAACTGCCTACAATATGAGCTTCTTGATGTGGTACGATCGGCTCTCATCGGGATGTTAATGAAGTAACATCTAAAAGAACTTCATCCCCTACCCTCTTCCTCCTCAGACAGTTCTTCTTCACCCTCTTCAGCCTCAAAGTCATTTTCCTCAGGCTCCTTATCTGTCCGGAGAAATAATTGAGCAGTTTAATGAACATGGGCGCTGTATGTTAAACATAGGAGTGTGTCATTAAATAATCCCTTTGGGAAAAGTGCTCATACCTTCAACAGGAGCTGTTGATACGGTGGACGCCAGAAACACAACAGCCACTGAAGCAATTACAAGATTTCTGTGAAAGCAAAATGATAAGAGTCCAGAATAAGTACATTCAACACAGAAATGAGCTATTTCTCATGCAGATTCTCAAAAGCAGCTGAAAATGGGCATTAAAATCCAACAAGTCTCTTGGGAAATGCATGCTTTTAATATTATTTGAATACAATTTTAACTTGCGTACAACTTAATTCATCGATTTGGCTTTTTAAAAACACAAGTAATTGTTAAAAGTAATACTTAGCACCGAGTTTGCATGTTTTAATCATAAAGCATTCCGTTATCAGACATTATATCACATTTGATTATTAAACGAGATTCCCAGCATTCAATTATTAGAGTAACACAGACTTTTAAACCAGATATAAGTCATATGCATCAAATCCTACACAAAACATGCTTTTAATCTATTAAAAAAAACCATTCCTGCAGCTTAAACACAGTGCTAGGAACACCAAAGTTATGGGTTTGATTCCTAAGGAATGTAAGAATGAATGCATGTACTTTGAATTCAATGCAAGCTGCTTTAAATAAATGCATAAACATAAAAACTCCTCATTCAAGCACATTGATAAACCAATCCACTGCTCATTCTTGATATATATTGATAAATAATTGCTCATAGCTATTCCCCTGATGTCAATTTCAGATATATTGGTTGTTATGAATCGATCATCATTGACTTACCGTGACAGCATCTTTAGCACAGGTCTATGTGGGAAACTGTGCAGCAGACATAAAGCAACCAGCAAACGGGCTTTTGACTTCCTTATGCTTGGCTGGCCAGCAAAATACATTTTATACCCTTCCAGCCCCCCATCTTGGTAAGGGGCAGGACTTCTAACCCCAGCCCCTGCCATTCAAACTGCTCCCACCAATCAAACGACAGGTGAGTACTCACACATTTTTGATTCATAATTTATATTCAGATCAGATCTGCAGTGTCTTCCCGTATCAAAGTGCAGAAATGATGAGGAATATCTTCTGCACCAAAAATCGGGATGAAAAGCATCATAATTCATGGGATGTCCCATCATCTGTTTGGCCCAGCAGGCAGCGGTGGAATCAGTAAGGCAGCTCAACCAGTGGAGGGCACCTACACAACATCACACACAGACCAGAGCCACAGGAACTCATGCAGGAAGTTACAGGTGCTTTCTCATTTATTCACCCTTGGAAAACAAGATGACCTGGCTGGTTTTAGATCAGAGGTTTTCAGATGGTTCTTTCATGCTAATTTTGTGATATAGCTCTTACAAAAAACTGCAATACTCTAAAGAATGAATGATGGTGCCGTTTATTTTTAAGTATTTGCTTTTATTTAATAAACCATATTTTCAAAATTTATATATTTCAATTTCCAAAAACATTAATGATAAAAATTCATAAATTGTCTCCAAAATACTATTGTTCAGGTTGTACAGTGGGATTATTTATTTTATTTATTTATTTATTTTTGGTCATTGTTGTTTGTTCATTTGAGTACATTTGATTGAATTTTAAAATAGGTTCAAGTCTGTCCAAAAACATGGATTTTGGAAACTGGATTTTTGTCCTAACTTAAGTAAATGCTGTGGCCAGAAACAAGGTAATATGAATAGCATAAGGTGGTTTGCTGGTCTTTGGTGGGTTAACCTGGTTTAGATGGTCAACCATTTGATCCCCCAGCCTGACTAGCTGACAAGTGCACCCCCCCCCCCCCCCCCCCCCCCCCCCCCCCCCGCTACGCCCCCCCCCCCGCAAACCACTTTAGGCTGGTTTTAATTTAATTTAATATTTTATGTATTTCTTTATTTGCTTGCTGAAACAGTCTGTATACATTTTGGGACATTTTAGATCATACATTTCTTTATTTAAATTGTTTAATTGATTTATCTTTTTTTATTTATGCTAATGTATAGTGTAATACACCTTTTTACTTTTATCATTTATTATTTCTTTTATTCAGATTTATATTTTCACTTTTAAGTATAAAAATCAGTAAATGTTTTTCGATTTTTACAACTGATATTATAATATACACCTTAAAGTACAATATAACAAGAGATATTATAATATAAAAGGACTTCTTACACCTTAAAGTACAATATAACAAAAATATGTATACCTATATTAATTTTAAGTCTAGAAATTTGTAATTTTTTTAATTTTTGCGTTTATGTATGCATTTTTCCATAATATTGAGTAAATGAAGACCACAATTGTTGCTAGGTCTTTTGAAGAAAGACAGTAACATTAAGAATTTCTTGTGATGTTTTAATGGATTAGCATGGTCCATTCAAGTACTATGGTATCTGTATTTTGCATAAGCTAATGCTCCTGTCCCATCACAGTAACTGAATATCTGGCAGCTCTCAGGAAGATTGCATTCCTGTAGCGTGTGCCAGTTCACATCAAGCCCGTTTTACAATGTAACGAACACCAGCAGGCCTCGAAATGCATTTCTGATAATGATAAACTCCTCCCGATGAACTAAATGGACGTGTGTCGTAGTAAAGCTAATGAGCTCTTGAGCTAAACAAGCTTTCTTTGTTGTAATGTGAAATGTGAACTGTGTGTGTGTATTTTGATTGATCTGTACTATCATGTTACAATAATACTCTGTTTTCTTTGTTAAACTCTGAATCCAAAAAATTTAAAAGATGTTAGCTTACATTAATGTGTAACTACAGCTAGCTTTTATTTTAATTTTTTTCCTGCTAGAAATATTAGGCTCATTTGCTATTGGAAGAATCAGCGGTTCACAAAAATGCTTTGCATGTACTTGAGTACTAGACTACTATTGCTAGTAGAAATGTCCACCTGCTGGTACAGTGTCAATCACAGGAGCAGTGTGGAATGACAAGACATACTGAAAAGCTGTATTATTACACATCAGCTGCTCTTGTTGGCAGATGTGGCCAGATTTCTGCTGGCCAGTTTTAATGTCCTGTGGCTTCCCTCATTCCTGCAGGCCTGCCTGATCTCAAACAAAAGCTCTGTGTTAGGTGCTTGAAACCATAGCGCTCTTGGAGCCAACCTTGGGTGACGAGATTAGAAGTGCCAGTCCAGGATCTGTTCAGTTCGGCCGGTGGGGTCAGGCAGTACAGCGGGTGGCTGCCGTACATGGAGACTGTGCTTGGACCATATAGAAAAGGACGAACCACCACAGTTGTATCCTATGGCAAAAATATATTTTTCCACACTTACAATATATTTTGGTAAATAAAAATAACAAAATGTATTCCAGAGGCAAGAAAATTATTGTCAGTGTTATGCATGTCATTTGTTGTGTGTGTGGGGAAAAATGTGTAATAGTTGTGGCAATGTATTGTTAAAATATTGGTTAAAAATAATTTTTGTTTTTTATTATTTTTGAATTATCATTTTATATTATAATTAATAATGTATCAAATTATATATAGAAACTTGGTATAAATGTATATAAATGTATAGTATAAATGCTCTCTCTCTCTCTCTATACAATGTATATATATATATATATACAGGTGCATCTCAATAAATTAGAATGTTGTGGAAAAGTTCATTTATTTCAGTATTTTCATTTGTTTAAACTCAAATTGTGAAACTCGTGTATTAAATAAATTCAATGCACACAGACTGAAGTAGTTTAAGTCTTTGATTCTTTTAATTGTGATGATTTTGG